CTCCAGCCACCAATCATCCTCATACCTGGCTGTACTTTTATCAGACTCTCACTGTTGTTCTGCTCGATAGCTTGCAATTGTTCTTTTTGAAACCTTTAGGTACTTTGGGGGATTTTGATCGACAGGCTACGGTGCAGCCATCACAGTTTGTCACCTCAGGGCAAAAAAAGAGAAAGGTCCACCTGATGAGAGGCGCGTGCGAGCATCATCTCTTGTATTCACAGTAATTGTGAATTTGCCTCAGCTGAATCCTCAGGTGACAAAAGTTACACAAAGTTACACACTTAAAAAAAGGAACAGAGGTGCCAATGCATGCCAACTGGTACACAACTCTCTGTTTCTACATTCTCTTATAGTCTTTTGCTGCAAAGGTTTAAAGTTGAGCTCAAGGTGGAAAGTTTCAAGTTTTACTGGGTCCAAAATTTGGCCAAACTGTTTCTCTGCAGTTTTAATCCCAGAGCTAAAGAAGCTGGGAAGATTCTGAATAAATTTACCATATGAGATGAAAGTTTTACATTTTCAAACAAATTGAGAAGAAAAATCAGACCTAGTCAACATTATCAAACTTTCTTAAAAAAAAAAACAAAGAAAAACAAAATGTGGCTATTTATGGAAAATCCCACTGTAGAGATCTTCAACGTTTTCCAGGCCAAGGACCCCAAACTGATGGCGAGATGGAGCGGGGACCCCCTAATTATATATATTGTTATATCAAACTGGTCCTATAGTCACTCTGGCTACGTTCACACTGCAGCCTGAAGTGACCCAAATCAGATTTTTTTTGCCCATATGTGACCTGTATCTGATCTTTTCATGACAACACAGATCCAATTTTTTCCAATCCGACCCAGGCCACTTGGCTATGTGGTCCTAATCTGATCTTTTTAAATTCGACCTGTGACCTGAACGTCATTAATACCCGACAAAGGTCACTATTCTGCGTCTTGTTGCGCAGAAGCTGCAAGAAAAACAACAACCATGGCAGATGATGATGCGGAGAGCAGTATTTATGTTTAACCATCTTGAAAAGATTGTGATTTTATGGTTGGAAAAGACTGATAGATGCGCGCCGGCACTACCATCCATGTTTACTTCCATAAACATAGAGCAGGTTGGCCTGTGACGTCATCGCGTTCTCTACTTGCATGCAGGACCCTTGCATTGTATGACTGCAGTTAACAGAGGAGATCACATACAAGTCGCTTTATATATTTGGAAATGTGAACAGCAACGTAAACAAAAATCGGATTTCACATAAAAATTGAGCATCAAGGCCTGCAGTGTGAACGTAGCCCAAATTACATATTGAGCAATGTAACTAAAGTAATCCCTCCCTGGGATTATTAGGCCCCGTCCACACGAAGCCAAACACTGGCCTAAACGCACAAATTTTTCACCAAACCAGCCTCTCATCCATACGAAGCCGGCGTTTCAGGGGTCTGTAAACGATCTTTTTTTTATTCAGCCTTCAGAGTGGGAAGATTTTGAAACGCCGTTTTCGCGTTTCCATCTTTAAGGTCTGACCGCATTTTTATTCTTACACGCATGCGTCATAGCATCGCCTCTAAACACGCATGCACGACACAGTATCACAACAACAATGGCGCCGTACTGTGTTGAATGGTTGCTGCTCATGCTACTCACCCTGCTGTCGGGCTTACAACAGAATCTTCTTCTTCTGGAATATCTCCAGGAAGAACAGAGCAATATCGACCACATAGTTCAGCACCTGAATTTGACTGAACCACCAAAATGGACCCGCAGGGCAACCATGTATAAATATTACTGCGCATGCCCTACATTTCGTCGCCTATTTTTGCTTTGGCACCACAGCGCCACTTACAGGCCTGGCATACATTTTGCAGCTTTTTCATTCATTCGTGTGGACGATCACATTTATTTTACGTCTCCGTCTTTAAGACAAACGTTCTGGAAAACATTAGCGTTTCATGTTCGTTTTGACTTCGTGTGGACGGGGCCTTAGAGTATTTCTAATTCCTGGTTGATGGGACAGGTGTTGTGAATGAAACGGTGTCCAGTTTGAAAGAGCTCCTGTGTGTCTCTGAATGTGAGCATTGATGACTGAAAGACATCTTCTGCCTCCATTTATCTGTTTACTACAGTCTGTTGGATTCATGTTAATGTGGATTTAAAGACATTTCAATTAGTGGCAAAAATTGCAGGGAGGAATATAAAAAGAAAGTAATCAACCAAGACTTTTGCGACCCCCATGCAGTACCTCTGTGGACCCCCTAGGGGTCGCGGACCCCCTGTTGAAGACCTCAGCTCTGTAGGATTGGGATATCGATGCTCTTCAACCAACAAACACACACACACACACGCACACACACACACGCACACACACATATAAACCTAGCTAAAAATGCTGGTGAAGAGGAAGAGGAGCTAGCTAAAAATCTCCTTGTCGGAGGTGGAATTTGCTCTTTCAAATGACTTAAAAAGTGGGTTTGTCAGCAGCTATCGTAATTTGTCACAAAGTGTAATGCACCTTTCCGGAAGAAGCTGCAGCTCATATTCCTTTTACAAGTATTTTGGGATTTAGAATTTTGAATGGGTCTTAGTCATAAGTATTTCAGAAACACTCATTTGAAAAAAAAAAATGGTTACACTTTGTCATTGGAGAGCATGCAATTCTGATTCTAAAGGGCCGATAATACAGCAGTGCGTCGCAGTTAGCTTGTCGCAGGTATTTTATTGTTCCACGCCACTACGCCAGAGGGCCAATCAGGAACTAGCTGTGGGTCTAGATACGGCCGAGGCGGTGAGGAAGGGGGAGCAAGTTTGTCCGACAACGGAGGGACATGAGGACAGAAAGAGCGGGGATCCAGGTGGAAAAAAGGTCCTAGCGTTCTCGCGCACCTCGCTCTGCTAGCTGCTCCATCTTCACCAGTCGTTTTCCACAATGGCGGCCAGACAAACAAAACCAGCCGGTAAAGAACCAAACAGGAAATACGCATAGAGTGTAGGATAGTCTATTGCTGATACTTTCACTTAAGTCCTCTGGAGATTTAACAAAGTAAACTTAGACTGAACTGTTTTAAATGATGATAGAAATGAGAATGATTGGACATCTGACACATGACCTCAATCCAGGGTTTTTATTAAAAATTATATTTAATAATCTATCACTTTTAACCCTTATTATTCACTAAACAATGATTTAAATATGGTTATGAATGCCAGTAGTAACAGTTGGACATATCTCTATTTCTCACAAAGTACTTTTAACGTTTTCCTCAAAGAAATCCTTCATAATTTCCCCTTTTCTTGTTAACATTCATTGTCTTGTCCTTTTTTCACTCTCAGTTGACATGCTCTCTTCTTCCAGGTTTCCCTCTCTCCCTATTTGCAGAACCCCCCCTCCCCATCTTACCTCTCAATGGTTCTCATTAAATATTCACAGCTCCATTCCAGGCTAATTGTCCTCAGCACGGCAGAAAGCAGCGGAATGAAATTAATCCATTAGCTTGGAATTGCTTTCATCAGAGCCGTGGACTCAGGAAGTGTGTGTGTGAGTAAAAAGCTCCTTCTCTTCTGACATTCGCTCAGGCAGGCGTGCTTGCCCATCATCACATGTACATGTCATTATTCTGGACATGAATGGCTGATTGTGTTATTTTTTCATATTTTGTCCAATCTGACCTCTGTATAAAAGTCATTACTTCTGACAACTCAAGCTGCAGATCCTTTAATAATTTGAATCATGCAACACAAACAACACGCTTTTTAGGATAATAATTGCATCACAATCTGGGTGTTCAGGTGAGAGAAATATATTCCAGAAAAGGGCAGATAAACTCCAATATATGTTTTAATTTGCTTTTTCCTATTATAGTGATGTTTTTCCTAAAAAAAAAAAAAATAGAGTGGAAATCACCATGATGCAATTTATTGCCTTAAAAGACTTTTAATCAGAGGAATCAAACGTATTATAGAATACGATTCTTGTTTTCTAAAATAATTAGACCTTCAAAAGTTTTATTTTTATCAGTTATTTAACTGACTGAAAGAGTTTTGCTACAAAATTATTAAAAAGTAGTGAGGAGCATAAAATGTTGCTACTCTTTTAAATAAAATTATTAATTGAAATATGTATATTCTCTTGGACTAAATGCAAAAAATAAAACTAAAAAAACTAAAACCTGAATTTATCATTTTAGCTGCTTTTATGCTTGTGTCTCATAATATTTATTGTAGATTGTAGATTTATTGAGATTAAGAAGTTAAAATGGCACACTGAGGTTTTCATATATATATATGTCACATACCTTACAAACCAACAATTGCTGCATAAATTAGCACTTTGTCTTCTTACGTTTCTCAAGTGACACTGTTTTTATTGATAAGCAGGTTGTATTCTGTATATGGGGATACCAATGCAATTTAATCTTACTTACTATATATTGTTATGTGTCAATTATAAATAGATAATTAATCAATAAATATATTTACTTCTTTTGTGTGCAAGGAAACACAAATATACTGTATTTGCCGGAGGAAGTTTACTTTTTTTTCTCTCCATGATTTTACAAATCTGATTGTTTTAAAAAGATATGAAAAACCTCCCAGTTACTGTAGCTTAAATTACTAGCAGTCCAGTTATTTTAAGAATTTAAGAGACATTAACAATTACACAAGTATCAACATTTTGAGATTGCATCAAACATTTAAAGAGACTCTTCGCTTGGAAAGCAAACATCATAGGTGGAAAAAAATCAAAAACATTTGTAGAAATTAAATAATGAAACACTCCAAATATAAACCAACCTTACAAAGAAAATAAGGAACACTTGTCAAAGATTTTAACATTAATTTAAGACCAGTAGGCTGACAGTGCCTGAATGAAGACTTTATAATAACAAGATAACATCAGAATTAATATGTAAATGTATGAATTGATAAGCATTGATCACAGCAAAAAAAAAAAACTGATTAAAGTATCTTTTCCTTTAAAAACATCAACAAATCATTTTCCCCCTTTAAACATTTTTGTATTCAAGTCTTTCTTTCCCTCCTTTGTAACACAGCGACTCTCTCAAAGTTCAAGTCAATAACGCTCTGCTGAAGGTATTGACAGGATAAAGTGGTCCTACTTAACGGGCCGAGCGTTCGCTCTCATGGCGTCTCCTGGGGAAAACGACCAGAAATGGGAAGCAGGATTAGGAGGAGAACAAGAGTGAGAAAGAGCAAACAAAAGACGGAGCAAAGCAAGGGAGGACTATGATGAACATGTTTATCTATCCATCCATCCATCCATCCATCCATCCATCCATCCATCCATCCATCCATCCATCATCCATCCATCCATCCATCCATCCATCCATCCATCCATCCATCCATCCATCCATCCATCATCAATCCATCCATCCATCCATCCATCCATCCATCCATCCATCCATCCATCCATCCAAGAAAAAAATCTGCAAACAACAATCTTTAAACTTTTTATCATTTTCAGGTTTTTTTTTCATACTAAGGTTTTGGCAATAAATACATATAGAAATGTAAAAAGACTGAAATATTCTGACAGTAGCCATATACTGTTACTGCCTAAATGCAGCTGCAGCTTCTTCTCTACAATCCGATGTCGATAATCTTACCTTATACCAGTTTTTACCTGTGAAAACGAATCGAAAACACTAAGAGGAGAATTTAAATTCCTGGTTGTTCAAAAAGATAATCACTATTTATTTTAAGACTTGACTCATGCCTCTGAAACTTGATTTGGACCAGAGGGATTGTGGACGAGACTAAGATGGATGTTGTCTTCAACTAACTGTCCTGATTGGTCGGGAGAAAAACAAAGTATAATGTTGTGGGGAAGCACCTTGCGTCACTGTTAGACAAGACAGAGGATCTATGTTGCTATGGGCCTTTATCTGCTCCAGAGCAAATTAGAAACATTCAGCATGAAGAGAGTCTTAATTCTTTTAATAATATAAATCTTAAATTAAAAAAACGAGTCCTTGATTCTTGTGAATCATGCCAAACATTTTGACCAAATCAAGACACCTCCGAATGGTGGGGCAGCATCTGAGGTAGTCATGGAATCTGAACCGGGTTTAGACTGCCTTCATCCAGTTGAACTTTCTGAGTTAGCAAAACTATTGTCTTCATCTAAGCCTTCAACTTGTATGTTAGATCCAGTTCCAACCAGATTATTTAAGGAGGTATTCCCTTTGATCTCCTCCTCCATTCTAGATGTGATTAATCTATCTCTGTTACAGGGATATGTACCAAAGGCTTTTAAGGTTGCTGGAATTAAAACTTTACTTAACAAATTATCTCTTGACCAAGATTACTTGGTGAATTATAGACCTATAAATATCTGTGGAGTACCACAGGGATCAGTGCTAGGACCAATTCTCTTTACTTTATACATGCTCCCAATTGGTAGAATTATTAGACAGCATGGGATTAATTTCCACTGTTATGCTGATGATACCCAGCTATATCTGTCTATAAATCCAGATGAAGCTAACCCATTACATAGATTACAGGCATGTCTGAAGACAGAAAAACCTGGATGACTCTTAACTTCTCTTAATCTCCTGTCCAGGGGTGATGCTGAGAAACTAGTCCATGCATTTGTTACTTCAAGGCTGGACTATTGTAATTCTTTACTATCAGGAAGTCCACAAACTGTAGTTAAAAGCCTTCAGCTGATCCAAAATGCTGCAGCCAGAGTTCTGATCCCCCCCAGCCATCGTAGACAACCATACAAACTTCATCATTCCTTACCTTGAGTAGACATGGATATATTTTAGTATATTCTGCTGTAAAATGAGTCTTATCGGACTACGTTCAGCTTCACAGCCCCCCTCCCCACCCACGCTCTCTCCATTCATTTCCTGGTCGCAATCTTCACTCACTGTAGCAGCAATGTCCACCATTACTTCTTCGGTTCTTTGATAGAACGTGTTTATTTTGGGACGTTTTTTCCGTTCTGCCAGGCCAGGGACTGACTGCAGTTCTACTGTGAGGTGTCTTGGTCAAGGTGAATGACCACCTGCCATGGAACAACCAGACCATGCATATTGCTTTAGGTTAATAGACTAGATTAGTTAGGCTATGTATGCTTCCAAAATAAATAAATAATTTCACTGTCCCCCTTCTTTTACTTCTAAAACTAGACTGCTGGGTGTAATGAATCTAAAGAAAGTTGACGACCTCCTGGCACTATGAACTTCAGCATCTGCTGACCTCTCTCCATCAGTTTACGTCGCCTCCTTATTGATGCTGAGTTCCTATTTTTCTGAACCACTTCCATTTTCTTATGGTACAGCTGACCATCAAATGTGGAATATAAAAAAAAAATTTAGACTGGATTTGTTGATAAGGTCCAGACAGTAGCTACGTTTACATGGACACAACTAATCGGATTGAAGGCCTGATCAGATCAAAAATGTTTCATGTAAACATTTCAGACTGAAGATTCTAATCCGATTCGGTCCGATCGGATCTAAATTTAATTCCGAAAGAGAGAGGTGGTTTTTGCCGATCGCCATTCCGATTGGCGTCCATGTAAACACCCATTCGGATCTTAAGAGTAAAATAATCTTCACTGCGCATGTGTGCGACGTCAGCGTGACGTTTTTCCGCCTTGTCAACAACAGGAAACCACCGGTCGCTCTCGCTCTCGCTGTGAACAACATGGCGGGGGGAGTCTAGGAACGCCGACTTATACACTCAAGTTCATTTAAAGCTGCAGGAAGCAGGGATTTATCCTCCTCCTCTTCCTCTTCTTCCTCTCCACAGCCCACTCGCTCTCCCACGCCGGTTCAATCGCTCATTCTCTACATTTTATCTCGGACATTTCGCTGCCAAGCTCTTTTTTCCTCCTCTCTCCGTTTTTCTTTCCGCTCGCTCCGAGCGCATCGTTTGTCAGGCCTCCCAAAAACCAGACGCAGACAGAACTGCCAAGTTTGGCAGGAAGTTCTGCGCATGCTTAAAAGATTTAATCTGATCCAACGCTTGGTACATGTATACACACGTCATGATCGGATCATTTCATTTAGTGTCCATGTAAACGGAGATTTTGAATTTCCGATCAACCAAGGTTTGGATCGGATCGGGGAAATTTTGCGCATGTAAACGTAGCTACTGACTCATTCTTTCACATGTGCTTCTAACAACTATCTTCATTCCTAACTGCTTAATTTTATTCACCTGAGGCCATTGGAGTAATTAGAATAAGTGATTACAATAATTTGGTTCAGTGAGCAAATACTTTTAGCAAAATAATGTATATTTTGTCACCACTAAGTAAATTAAGGTTGAATTTTGGTTGTAATTTAAAAGTCTGATGAAATGATAGATAAAAAAAAAAATCCCAAATAATGTTCTAAAAATGTGTTGATACTAGTAACAATTGTTGAATATGAATTATTTCTTTGCAGACATGTAAAGAATGTATGAATACTATGATCTATTTTCTACAAAAATTATTTGGTCATAAAAATGTAGTAAAAGTTGTATAAAATCATCCAAAAAACAAACAATTACTTTCTGGTATGTACATATTAATCAGTCTGAGTTGCACCGATCACTGACTAGTTATTTATTTGTTTTGTGAATGATCTTATACACCTCATATTAAGTTTTTATGACCTAATTTGTTAGAACATTTAGCTTTACAATAGCTAACAAGATAAGAGGTTGCAATTTATTCATCAGTGTGTTTAAAAATAAGGAATTAAAAACAAATAAGGGGCATAAAGAGACTCATTTATGCCAGCAAGTATTCTGACTTAACTCCGCCCACCTCTGGGACTGAACTGCTACCTGTCTGCCAATTAAGAGGCTGCCTCATTAGTGCTAATTTGTCTTTCCCTCCCTCAGCCTTTTGTTTATTCTCCTTCCTTTTCGTTTTTCCATCCCGGATTCTTGCCTCTTTTAGAAAAACAGCATAAAGAAAAACCCTTCCTCTATTTGTGTTTTCTTCAGTTCGCTGTATCTGCTGCGGTGGAGAAATTAAATTTGATAAATGAGTCAATCTTTAAATATTAATTATGTATTAATTACATTCACAAGGCAAAACAAACCTTGCTTAATGATTTATGAGGATCGGTCCCACTTTACTCTAGATTTCATTGTCCAATGAGAATCAGGAGAGAGAAGGGAAATGGAAGGGCTGGCAAATTAAAACAATGAAACAAAATCCAACTAAAGAGGAAGAGAGTGTTTTTCAGAGTCAGACAGCAGCATTCAGAGGCCTGGAAAACAAGAACGCCGTAGCATCACTATGAAATGTTTGTCCAAACTAAATAAAAATTAATAATTAGATCACTTTTTTCACTAGTTTTAGTAATGTGGGACCTCTGGTCTTTTTTGCTATAATTGAATTAAGAGCTGCATAGGTCCCTCTGAGTCAGAATGCAGAATACTTACATTCTCTAAACCAAATTGATCGACTGTAGTTATTTGGCTCAAACTGAGTTTTTAATAAGAAATGAAAGGAAGCCCTTCAGTATAGGTACTTCCTGCGATGATTCTGGAAGTAAAACCTTCCACAGGAACTCTGGTCAGAACATGGAGGCTGACGTCGCTTTTTTAAGGACATGAAAAGGTTTATAGGTTACGGAAGACGGCCACTTTTACTTAGCCTGACGTAGTCCTACTCGATTCTAGTCAGAATGAGTCTGATGCTGCTCCATAGAGCTGTGATTATGGGGCGTGTTTCGAACGAACCAGGAAAAAAAATGCCTCTGCACTCAATTGGATAGACCTACAACCAATAAGAGCAACGGAGTGCGTGACGTATGTTAAGCCACGCATAGTTGTTGTCAACAAAAATCAAAGCGTGCAGTTTCACACCTAGAATAAGAAGATGAGACTTGATCGCGTTTCTCTGTTCCTCTTTTAAAATTAATTTGCTGTCGATATCTTCTAGAACAGACCTAATAGCAGAATCTACTCACCTCAACTCTCCAGCGGCAGCCATTGTTGTTGTCACCCAAGCGCGCTTTGGTCACGTGGTTGATTACGTTACTGTTGATCATCTGTCCATCATCGTATAAAGCCCGCCTTGACAATGTGATTGGCCCGCCAGATATTGTGCTAGCATACTCGCGCTACTATTGAGCAATGCCAGACCGAACTTCCTGACCTCAAACTTTGTGGGCGGG